CTTTCCTTTCCTTTCCTCTGTTTCCTCCGTCTTCTTTCCTTTCCTTTCCTTTCCTTTCCTTTCCTCTGTTTCCTCCGTCTTCTTTCCTTTCCTTTGTTTCCTTTCCTTTCCTTTCCTTTCCTTTCCTTTCCTTTCCTTTCCTCCCACTGGTTTCGTCCATCGACTCCTACTGGCCACACTCCTCCATACACCTTCACCTCTTCGCTCTTGTCCCTTCGTTTTCCCGTCTCTTCCTTCCTCAGTCGTCCCCTCTTACGGTTCACAGTGACTCTCCGTCTTCTCCCGCCTCCATTCACCTGTCCATTAATCCATTCATCCTTCTTTTCTATTTCCATCTCTCTTTATAAAAGGGACCAGTAGATTTACCTTGGGCTAAACGGCCGGGAGGCAATGACGTGTGGCCGATTAGACTTCTGAATGATGGAGAGACGGCGACGGGGGGGGAGAGGCCTCGGCTCAGGTGTGGCGAAGAGGACGGCGGGGCGAGGAAGACGGGAAACAAAGACGGTGGAAGGAAAAAGGATAAAAGCGCACGGCGTGATGCACAAGGTTAATACCGCGGAAAAGAACGGTCGCCCTTGGATGGAGAGACGACGGAGGAGGGAGGCAGGAGATGGAGGGATGGATGGGGAGGGAGAGATGGAGGACAGACAGAGGAGAGGGGAGTCTGTCCATTCGCCTGTCCCCGTGACAGATGATTAACTAACCTTGTCAGATGTGGATGAAGTATGTGTCTGTGTGTGTGTGCGCCGGGCATTCGTGTCCCTTTTCTCTGACTGTACCGTTCACCTTGTCCTGCACACAAACCCAATCAGACGCCTCTGGAGCTGCAGCCAGCAGCTCGCCGGACGTCTGTTTGGACTCCCAGGAGGACGCAACATACATTTCAGAGGCTGACGGCAAACTTGCATGTTTTAGTCCACCAGGGTGTTTGTGCCTCCTCGAGACGAACCGATGCTTCCTGAACTTATTCATCACAGGAACAGGTTGCGCCAGACTGTGCATGCTTGCTGCACCTGGAAGCAGTCCGGCCTCCTACTTGGAAGCGCTCAGTGCCAGACCCGGCGGCCACATGTGGGTTTGAAACACAAGAAAATGTGAAGTGGTTTCGCAGCAGTGCTTCAGGATGAGTTGTATTTACAGAAACGTTGATCGAAAAATTACAAGAAAATCCAAAAACCATATTCGATTTGAGTCTGGCTGATGCTGAAGTCGTCTCTTCTTGTGAAGCTCCTTGGAAGCCCCGCTCTGTAAATACGTCGACACCGTCTGTGAATTTGGATCATCTCGGTTGATGACTGGTGCAGAATGCGATGCAGAGATCTCCGTACCGTTCCTGGTACTGGTATTGTGGTATCTGCACATGTTGCACACATCGCCGTGACAAGATCTGTGCGCCACAAACAGTGTTGGAACTTTTTGATCGTCGCTTTTTCTCATCGTCTTCGCAGCAGTGTGCTAAAGCAGTGGATCTGTGACACCTCACTTACACCTAGAACACTGCTACGAGTCAGCTTTGGTTCACTGAGTTCTGAAGACGGGTTGAAACTTGACCTGAATGCATCTCAGTGTAACTTTAAGCTACATCATGCTAACTTGCTTCCCTCACTCTCGTCCAAGAGCGATGGGATCCACTTGCCTTCCCTCGCGCTGAGCTCTTCCTGCATCCTCTTTTCTCTTCGAGGTGCATTTCGGGAGCTTGAAGATCCTCCGTGATGGTGGAGGGAAAAGGTTTCCAGGTCTCCAAACTAGAGAAGATGTGAGGAAGCATAATTAGCATCATCAAACATCTGCTTCTTTCAGGAACAGTCTCCGTAGCTCAAAGCAAGCGAGCAGTCTGTAGAGTCAGAGCTGTTGTTTGCAGTTTATTTATTTGACCTTTATTTATTCAGGCAATACAGATTAAAAATACAGTTCTTATTTTATGCACGTGGCACAGCAGCAGCTATACCGATCAGTCCGATAGTCCTGTTCTGTTCTGGCCTTATTACCCAAAATATGTCGGAACAGTCAGAACACCGTGATGTAACCCTGAAGTGTGCTTATCTGTAAATGTACACGTCACAGCAGCGTCCAACAATATGGAAAGAAAGTTCAAGGAAATACTAATAATAACGTAATAAAATAAGTATGTACACAAGATGACAACAATATACTATTGAATGAAAATAATAATAATAATAATATTTACAGTGAAACAGGAAGCAGATGATGAGCATGTGTTCATGTTGTCTGCTTGGTGAACATCAGCCAGTGATGCTGATGTTGTAGGTTTGACCAGAATCTTCAGGGTTTAATGTCTGCTTTGTAATTTTTGCACCAGTTTGCAATTTAAATTCACAAAAACCTTAAAAGCGAGCGTCGCACACATCCTCTAACACATCAGAGTGGAAGAACAATAAAACCAGGTGCAAAACCATCGACGCCATCAGGAGAGCTTTCTGTATATTAGAGGTAGTTTATGGTAAATCGTACTGAACTACATTTCTGATTGGTTTTCGTCTCCGGTCTGCTCTGTGGAAACACAGCCTGCAGTTCAGCCTGAAGCTTCCTGAGTTGGTGTCACATGACTGCTGGTTGCAGCTGAGTCACTCATGGCCTCTTAGTTGTGCCCTGAAACCCTGAAATTTAGCTTTTTTATTTTTTTGCAGAATCTGGTTAAAATAAACAGCTTATTTTTAGAGAATTAAATTATTTTATTGAAATATTGCAGTTTTAAACTCAGATTTAGTTCATATTCCTGACTGGATCTCAGATCACAAAGACCTTAGAATCCTTTCTGTTGATCAGTGGCATCACTTTTCATATAAACGTGGCAGAAGCGTCCACATTAACACCAGCGTCGATGTGTTTCCTGACCGTAGATTCATACCATTTAGTTCACAATCCTCTCGTCTCTTGTGTTCAGATCCTGTAGTTTATTTTTCATGTGGTGTTTCTGCTCAGGTTCGGTGCGATGCTCCTCGGCTGCCCACTGAACTGTCTTCCAGGCAACACTGGAGCTTGTATTATTTCTTCTCGTGCTTGTTATCCTTTGCTACCCGGTGCTTCAGCACATAAAGCTGCTCTGCCATCGGCACCTCCCGCTGAACAGTTTTATTG